TAAGTGCCCTATACAGGTATACCATTTTTTATCTTTTATACCACATTTTTACTGTACCTTCTCTAAGTTTAGACACAAATATTTACCATTGTGTTACAATTGCCTACAGTATTCAGTATACTACTGAGTGGTTTATAGCCTATGAGCAATAAGCTATACCACATAGCCTAGGTATGTAGTGAGCCATACCCCTTTCTAGATTTGTGTAAGTACACTCTATCTATGTTTGCACAATGAAATAACCTGACGCATGTCTCAGAACATACCCCTCCAGTGCTAAGCAACACATGACTGTATACACATTTAATCCCAACAACCTAATGTATTTTCCCTACTTTTCAAAGATACATAGGCTCAGCCAGGTGTGGTGACTCACGCCTAGTGCTAGGATTACCTAGCACTTGGGGAGGTCAAGGCAGGAGGATTACTTGAGGCCAGGAGCTCGAGACCAGTTTAAACAAGAATGAGACTATGTCTCTTCAAAACATAGAAAAATTAGCCAGGTGTGGTGGTATGCGCCTGGGAGGCTGAGGCAGAAGGATTGCTTGAGCCCAAGAGTTTGAGGTTGCTGTGAGCTAGGCTGATGCCACGACACTCTAGCCTGGGCAACAGAGTGAGATTCTGTCTCAAAAAAAAAAAAAAAAAAAAAAAAGATATTTAGGCTCAGAGAATTTACATGCTCAACAGTGACAGTGGCAAATATGAAACCAAGTCTTCCTCCAGAGCCCAGGCCTTTCCACTAGCATACATATGATATGGTAACAAGATCACAAGATTCACAATTCATACTCTTACTTTTAATATTATCCTAATATATATACACCTATCTCACGAGGAAAAAAAATGAGACATCAGATGTAACGTCCTTAACAGAACAGAATCCCTTCCCACACCCAAAAAACTGTTCACCTTTTAAAAACACCTTTAACATCACCATGTGGGCAACTTCAGGACAGCTAGCTAGTGGCAACCAAATCTTCTAGCTTAAAATTATCTAACAACTCCCTAAAAAAGTAATATGCTTACAAGAAGGAAGACACAATAAAAGGAACACTAACAAAATTGTAACATGAAGTTACACATGTAGGATATTAAGCCAAAGACACTGCCATGTTTTACTGGCGAAAAAGTACAATGAATTTACTAG